CCCTTTCTCTCAGAAAATTTCTTATTACTAAAACACTGAAAACTTTTGAAAACGCCTTGAAAATCACAAGGGTCTCCATAAATGGTAACATTTCTTAAAGGCCAAGCCTGACTAGCCTATGTCCATCCCGTACCCCAGCCCATTCCCCCTGTAAAGTTGGACGAGGCTAGCCCCAAGCATCGTTCCCCATCCTTAGACGGACAGACAGACATCTCTCATAGCGTGTTCATTCATGTTTATGAACAGTGCTACACGCAATCCTAATTGTACATGCAAACTTTAGAACCTTTTGCATAAGAATTGTGTATGATTGGAATGGACGTCAATAAGGCATTTAGAGTTTGGATACAGAGCAGAGAAGTCCGGATAATCGACACTAAACGCAAGGAAATGATTCTTCCATTCAATACGAAACCATGTTTTCCTTCAACTCTATGTAACCGTACGTGCCACATACTGAAGCATGCAGATTACTGTTGTTGGGCGACTAATCACACCAACGACCGCTGGAATAATATAAATAACCATTAAAGTATCTAATCGTACCCTAGGATGAAGAGGGAGCCTGACCCATCAATGACTGCATGACCTTTGTACACACTAAAAAAAATAAAGTATGGGAATCCTATCCTTTACCCAAGTAGCTTGTTCCCTATGAAGGAGTTGCACTTGTAAGACATATCCATGGGTACCAATATAACTACAGATATGAACACGTATTAAAATTCAATCCACAGTCAAGCCCCAAGTTACGCAGACGAGGAGTCAACGTGGCTGAAATATGTTTACCACAACAACACACACAATCGACTTGAGAATGGTCCAGGACGGACCGAAACGTCGTCGTCCCTTCACTTTCTAGTGTGTGGTTTGGCCCCCAGTGACCTTTCAGGAGGCAATAAGCCCCACTACAGGTAAGTGCGCCACAAGAAGGCTGAAGGGGAATATATGTGAGCAGGTCCGTATAAGAGTCAGCTGGTTTAACAAAAACTGTAATTGTATAATCTAGTATTTGTAACCTTAACTGCGGGCTCACCATAGCCCGTGCTACTTGGAACTTCTTGTTCCAGGTAGCAAATCTTAAACAAACAACATTGTAACCTTCAAAAACCTCAAACTGCACTGATTACGAGTATAGACAACATTTATGCAAACATTTCCAAACAAGCATAAACTAAATGCACTTTTTATAACATTCCCAATAGATTATACCTATTAACTATTATTACCTATTATCTATTACTGTATTACCCATTACTGATTGTACCTACTTATCAGATCTTGTTACCCACTGGGAACAAGAGCCTGTAAACTTTTCAACTCCCAAACAATGTTAAAACTCATTTACAAGATAGGGGATATTTCGAAACTTCAGCGCGGCTTCAGATAATTGCTTGGTGCAGCTCATGCACCAATGTACCCAGTTTCCTATAGCACCCACTGGTCTTATTTTAAATAGAATTTGATTCAACCATATTTTTCCTATTTCTCTCAAAGCTATCCTTTTCACTCTTAAAATTCCCTTATTTACAATATAAATAATTATAATTCAATATATTTTCAATATTTAATGGGCAATGATTATAAACACACACATATTACCATAAACAGTTTAACTATAAAGTACACACATTTACTTTAATATATCTATATCTTTTTAAAAATACACATCCAGCATCATAAAATAAATCTATACACATTTTAATGAAGTATGAAATTTAAGGCTTGTGCTCCACTGTACCATTGGAGACGTGTTTCTTCCTTCCTCAGGTACAAAGGTAAAGCTACACTTACCCTTAGACAAAAGTGCCAAGTAATTGTGGCCTACACAAAGAAAACTCGCCCGTTCCACTTTTACAAAATATTTTATGAAATTGTACTCTTCCCTGGGAGGGAGCCGGTCGGCCGAGCGGACAGCACACTGGTCTTGTGATCCTGGGTTCGATCCCAGGCGCCGGCGAGAAACAATGGGCAGAGTTTCTTTCACCCTATGCCCCTGTTACCTAGCAGTAAAATAGGTACCTGGGTGTTAGTCAGCTGTCACGGGCTGCTTCCTGGGGGTGGAGGCCTGGTCGAGGACCGGGTCGCGGGGACACTAAAAAGCCTCGAAATCATCTCAAGATAACCTTCCCTCCTCATTTTTAATGGCCGAGAAATGCTTTACGGGGTCTATCAAATTATTGACTTTAAATCTGGTCTAAAAGGTAAAAAACATTGTCAAATCGCTGGGTGTGATTACCATGTTGACATTACTAAATAAATGCTGCTATTTTGATTGTTCAAAAGACAAAAGTTAAGTTATTAGAGCTGATCACTTTACAGTAACTGCACATTCCTAGCCTGAGTAGAGCTGCACCATTCCTAGCCTACATAGAGCGGCACTATTCCTAGCCTACATAGAGCGGCACTATTCCTAGCCTGAGTAGAGCTGCACCATTCCTAGCCTACATAGAGCGGCACTATTCCTAGCCTGAGTAGAGCTGCACCATTCCTAGCCTACATAGAGCGGCACTATTCCTAGCCTACATAGAGCGGCACTATTCCTAGCCTACATAGAGCGGCACTATTCCTAGCCTACATAGAGCTGCACCATTCCTAGCCTACATAGAGCGGCACCATTCCTAGCCTACATAGAGCTGCACCATTCCTAGCCTACATAGAGCTGCACCATTCCTAGCCTACATAGAGCAGCACTATTCCTAGCCTACATAGAGCGGCACTATTCCTAGCCTACATAGAGCGGCACTATTCCTAGCCTGCGTAGAGTTGCAACATTCCTAGCCTACATAGAGCGGCACTATTCCTAGCCTACATAGAGCGGCACTATTCCTAGCCTACATAGAGCGGCACTATTCCTAGCCTGCGTAGAGCTGCACCATTCCTAGCCTACATAGAGCGGCACTATTCCTAGCCTACATAGAGCGGCACTATTCCTAGCCTACATAGAGCGGCACTATTCCCAGCCTGCCTAGAGCTGCACCATCTAGCTTACATAGAGCGGCAGCATTCCTAGCCTTTATAGAGCTCCAAGTACTTGACTATTAAAGGGCATTATTCCTAAATAGTTTTTCGAAAAATTATCAACAAAAAAAATTTACTACCACTGCCTGTATATTCGCCCATTAATTGTTAAAACCGAAATAGTGGGCGAAGTGGAATTGGGACCGAAGATATACAGTAATGGGAAAAAAGGAAGAATGGAAAGTAAACAAAAATTGAGATACTATCAACAGCGACGGAGGAGGAAAATAGGGAAACTTGGAAAATAGGTGAAATGAACAGAACAGGATAAAGCCGTATATGGAGACAGTGTAGCAGCAGGAAGGATAAGGTGGATAATGAACGAAGCAAACTATTACACGCGTCTCGAAGGTGACCATACAACTATCTTGAGATGATTTGAGATGATTTCGGGGCTTTAGTGTCCCCGCGGCCCGGTCCTCGACCAGGCCTCCACCCCCAGGAAGCAGCCCGTGACAGCTGACTTAACACCCAGGTACCTATTTACTGCTAGGTAACAGTGGCATAGGGTAAAAGAAACTCTGCCCATTGTTTCTCGCCGGCGCCTGGGATCGAACCCAGGATCACAAGTCCAGCGTGCTGTCCGCTCGGCCGACCGGCTTCCCTTAATTGCCCCGTTCGACTAGGAACAAAGAAAAGTGTACCTAGTTGGCACACTCAACAAAATAACATTTTATATTAGCATTTTTGGTATTCAGGTGAGGATGGGTAGGCGTAGGGTAGGGGGGTGTTTAAGATGTGTAAAATGTAAATTACAAATAATTTCATTCTTTTATCCTTTACACAAGAGCTCTTTTGATCTTCGGACCCCTAGGACCAGATTCACGAAGCAGTTACCCAAGCACTTACGAACGTGTACATCTTTCCTTAATCTCTGACGGCTTTGGTTACATTTATTAAACAGTTTACAAGCATGAAAACTTGCCAATCAACTGTTGTTATTGTTATAAACAGCCTCCTGGTGCTTCCGAGCTCATTAACTGTTTAATAATTGTAAACAAAGCCGCCAAAGATTGAGAAAAGATGTACAGGTGCCTAAGTGCTTGCGTAACTGCTTCGTGAATCTGGCCCCAGGTTCGTAAGTGCTTGCGTAACTGCTTCGTGAATCTGGCCCCAGGTTCGTAAGTGCTTGCGTAACTGCTTCGTGAATCTGGCCCCAGGTTCGTAAGTGCTTGCATAACTGCTTCGTAAATCTAGCCCCTGATTCGTAAGTGCTTGCGTAACTGCTTCGTGAATCTGGCCCCAGGTTCGTAAGTGCTTGCATAACTGCTTCGTGAATCTAGCCCCTGATTCGTAAGTGCTTGCATAACTGCTTCGTGAATCTGGCTCCAGGTTTGAAAGTGCTTCGTGAATCTGGGCCCTGAGCATGAGGGGTCGTGTTGGAGAAAGTTTATTGGTGAAAACTCGACATAACCAACAGCTGCCTCTACTCTCAACATAGTGCGCTATTTATAAACATGGGCAATATATTGAAACTTAGGCAATATAAGCCTTCAAAATACAAATAATAAATAAATTAAATTATTTTAATTATTAAATAAATAAATTATTTCTAAATAAGCAGAAGCAGGAAGAAGAAAGCTACGCAGTAATAAGAAGCTTCACTAGACTGAAGAAAAGTTTACCCAAACAAAAGATATAGTATATCTTGAGAGGTTATCTTGAGATGATTTCGGGACTATTTAGTGTCCCCGCGGCCCGGTCCTCGACCAGGCCTCCACCCTCAGGAAGCAGCCCGTGACAGCTGACTAACACCCAGGTACCTATTTTTACTGCTAGGTAACAGGGGCATAGGGTGAAAGAAACTCTGTCCAATGTTACTCGCCGGCGCCTGGGATCGAACCCAGGATCACAAGTCCAGCGTGCTGTCCGCTCGGCCGACCGGCTCCCGGCTCTATACAACAAACTTAAAAGTGAACATAAAATTGCAAACCATGAATTTTTCATCAAACAAATTTTGAAAATTATACACAACTTACAGGCAGGCTCGGTCGACGACCGGGCCGCGGGGTCGCTAAGCCCCGAAATCACCTCAAGGTAGGTACCATTAACGAACTGAAAACTAAAAAAAGTAAGTCAAACACCACGAAAAGTGAGTAAACAAGATATCAATCAAGCATGATAACACTTGTAGTTTTCCGTTCCTCTCCCTTAAGATAAACAATAAGAACCTCTTGCTACTTAGATCTTCACTTGTCATAAAATATGATATTCAAGTGTTAAAGGGAGTAACATACAGGAGTTGGAAAACCGAACAAGCCTGCCTTGAGTTTCTAGTAGGATTAAAAACCTGCATTAGCAGGAATGTTAAGGACGAATCACATCTCGTGCATTTTATATATCATATGATATATAGAATGATATATCGTATGATGTATAGAATGATATATTGTATGATATATCGTAAATAATACGTAGATGGGTACCCCCTCTACGCCTTCTTCAACCAACTTATCCTAGGTCCACCCCCGCCTATCCTATCCCTCCCCCCTATATCCCACCCTGCCCCCCCCCCCCTTTTCACCCCCTCCGACACCCCCCCCTTTCACTCCACCCTGTCCCCCCCTTCCCTTCATTCCACCTGATATATTTACATAGCTTCCCTCGCCATCCTGCCTCCCACTCCTCTGTACAACCCATTCACTCAACTAATTGGTAGTTTTTTCCTCACGTTACCGTTACCAACGTTACAAATGCATTGTATTAAGTAAATAAACTTTGACGTTTTCTATATGCATTGGAATAGGTTAGGTCGATTGCTTGGGTTTACGTTTCTGGTTAGGCGAAAGGTGTAGGATTTTTATAGACATTTATGACATAACCAATTCAAATCGACAAATACGTGAATATTAAAAAATGTACCTGGAATCAAAATATTTAATAATTATGCGTGTGCTTTGTGTGGAGCGTGTTTGCCTGTAGTGAAGCAGAAAATACCTTCCAGAGTCGAGACAGGGGGATAGGAGTGTAATGCAGTCTACAGTAAAATGTCTATACTACAGCAGTTAACGACACCAGCTCACTGAAAGGGCACTACAACGTCCAATAGTGTGCAAAGTTATGTACTGGAAGCAATACAGTAGAGGCGTTAACAACAGCGGGTTAGTCAAGTGTTATGCGAGCGATACAGTGCAGAGCCGAACATAGCATTCTAATAGACGAGAACGATTTTGAAGACAACATAGAGGTGGCATTCTGCATGTTCTTAATCGTGTTCGTGAAACAGAATAAACCTTGCTGAGAAACCACGGCGCTCCCTTGCCCCGAGACCAAAAGAATATCGGAAATTTAGAATATAAACGCACTATGCTGCCTTCAAAGTTACGAAAAGAAATTTGAGGGGGATGACATTAATATAGGTTCTTAACGTTGACCAGACCACACACTAGAAGGTGAAGGGACGACGACGTTTCTGTCCGTCCTGAACTATTCTCAATCGACTCGAGAATGGTCCAGGACGGACCGAAACGTCGTCGTCCCTTCACCTTCTAGTGTGTGGTCTGGTCAACATACTTTAGCCACGTTCTTGCGATTCATCGCCTGCATAGGTTCTTAACCTCCCAGATAAGCTAAGCCTTATAGAATGGTAACTATACACAACACAACAAAGCCAATTTCGATAACATGCTCTAAATTTGTCCTGATACATCGTACTGCAGAACTTAGTTCCCTAAAGGAAATCTATGAACGCTTCTGAAGCTGACAAGACTTTAATGTTTGCTCTTTGCCATCCAGCGATCTTCCTAACCCGTGATAAAATGCCCAAACAAATCTTGCCTTAAAACTTTCCTGCCTTGGATATCAAGGCTATGCAAACCGTCTGTGATATTAATCTTGAGCTTCAGAGAAACAAGTGACCCTGACACGATTAACGACGAAGCATAACTCACTACATCTATAGAAAAACATCAAGAATGCGTCCACGAAAATTGTGCTGCATATTAAACTATTCAAACTGGTTAAAGCAATACACTCATATTTGCAACTTAATATCTTGTGCCAAGTCGAAAAATTTATATTTAATTTAAAAAATATATATAAGTGGCTTTAAAATTACCCACTAAATATTAAAGAATTATGACGGGAATATATTCCATTGCTCTCTCGTGCAAAGTAAACCCTGCCACCTTCTCTGATAATGTTATGCAGAACTCGAGGTTAAGGCGCAAGCTTATGTAAATATCTCATTGCCTATTTATATTTTAATTATCCTTAGCACATAAATCAGAGTTAAATAATTGCATCTGTTGTATCGTTAAAGAGCAAAACGTGAGTTAGCTACCAAAAATCTGTTGCTCAAGTATCCAAGGTTTAACAGAATTAGAAGAGGAGCTATATGATAACTCTCTACCTTTGTTATCTCTCAATATTTTGATTCGACGCTTGCATCTTGAGGTTATCTTGAGATGATTTCGGGGCTTAGCGTCCCCGCGGCCCGGGCCTCGGCCAGGCCTCCTTTTTGTTACACATCCCCAGGAAGCAGCACCCCGTAACAGCTGTTTAACTCCCAGATACCTATTTTACTGTTAGGTAAACAGATGCATCAGGGTGAAAGAAACTTTGCCCACTTCTTTCCGCCTCTGCCGGGGATCGAGCCCGGAACCACAGGACTACGAATCCAAAGCGCTGTCCACTCAAGCTGTCAGGGGAGTGGACAGATTTTGTCTAAAAATCTAAAAAAAAATCTAAAAAATTAGATTTTGTCAAAAGTAGCGATTTTGTCTAAAACAGTAAACCTCTGGCTTGGAGCTAAAAATATCAAGCTAAATTTGCCCTGCAAACAACTTATTTACTCGCGCAAGGAAAAAAAACTATTTAAATTAGTAATTACATGAAAATGTAAACAGGAAAAAAAACATGCTTACATTGTATGAAAAATAAATATTCATTACAAGCTAGTATGTGTATTCCATATAACGTTACCATAATTGTAAGATAGCCTGATAGCACGATAGCCACTCGCTTACCCGGACCGAGTCTCTAGTGCTAAAATAAACCCGACCGGGTTAAAAGAGAAATTGCTTCAATATGAGCCAAATTACAGGGGTTATTTTTATTTTAATTTAAACTTGATTTTTTATGTATTGATTAAATAGATAAAAACCCAACCCGGGCGAATTGGGTTAAAAAATTAATAATGGGTATTTTTTTTATCATCCACCTCGCGAGTTGAACTAGTAGCAATATTGGTACCATTCAAAATTACTGAAAACAGTAGTAGACAACTTAATTCTTTCAGACTATTTCCTCACTACTAGCATTAAATAGTTTACAATCAAATAATAACATGCTTGTTTCCGAAGTCAGACAAAGATATACATGCCTTAATATTATTTAATATATATATATATATATATATATATATATATATATATATATATATATATATATATATATATATATATATATATATATATTATTAAATATGACCGAAAAAGTAAGATTAATAATTCTAACACGAATTTTCTCAATCTTTCGTACATTTCGTTTCACTGTTGGAGGTAAATCAAAAATCAATTCTCCAAAATTCATTTTTATTTATAAAATAAATAAAATAAATATTTTATAAATAAATATATATATAAATATAAATATAAATAAATATAAATATAAATATTTTTAAATATTAAAAAATAAATAAAATAAATATTTTTATATTTTATTTTATTTTATATATATATATATATATATATATATATATATATATATATATATATATATATATGTCGTACCTAGTAGCCAGAACTCACTTCTCAGCCTACTATTCAAGGCCCGATTTGCCTAATAAGCCAAGTTTTCCTGTATTAATATATTTACTATAATTTTTTTCTTATGAAATGATAAAGCAACCCTTTTCTCTATGTATGAGGTCAATTTTTTGTTATTGGAGTTAAAATTAACGTAGATATATGACCGAACCTAACCAACCCTACCTAACCTAACCTAACCTATATTTATAGGTAAGGTTAGGTTAGGTAGCCAAAAAAAGCTAGGTTAGGTTAGGTTAGGTAGGTTAGGTAGACGAAAAAACATTAATTCATGAAAACTTGGCTTATTAGGCAAATCGGGCCTTGAATAGTAGGCTGAGAAGTGAGTTCTGGCTATTAGGTACGACATATATATATATATATATATATATATATATATATATATATATATATATATATATATATATATATTACACTTAGTTATATACAAGATATACATATTTAAATATGCATGCATACTTAATAGTGGGTAAAAGTAAAAATGTTGTGGATCTCCTCTCACATTGGACTGCAGGAACATGATGAAAGTTGATGCCCTTACTAAGCTTGCAGTAAATAAAGCAATCTGAAGGTAATCTTTAGGTATCAAATAGATCCATTAAATGTGCCATCAGACGAAAGCTCTTAGATGAATTTGAAGTAGAATAGTGAAAACAGGAACCACCAGATCAACCGAGAACCAATAAAACGTGTCAAAACTTCTGTATGGGGCAAGTAACACAATCAGACGACTAACAGACGTGGTCACAGCTCGTATACGAGTTGGCTACAAGTATCTCAGACAGTTCGGCATGTATATGGGTCCAGACGAAGTCAAATAAATTGTAGTGTGAACAGAGAGAAACATTACATTGAGTATTGCATCTTAGACTAAGAAAATGAGCCAAGGATAACCCTACGTAGCTTGAAATGGCAAACCATTACAAAAAAAAATCTGAAATCCTTGCACTGTATTCACGTTTCGCTTCTAGTAGATAGAATTACATGATTTTAGGAACAGGCAGTGTAGTGTGAAAACTAATAATAATAATAGAAAGAGTTCCTATATGATCTTGTAATATCCCATACCTAAATATTTTATGTATTAGAAAAAGACCTACCCTCAGTGTAAATATTATTAATGTAAATATAGATATTGTAAGGGGTGTTTTTTTTTTGTTAGTAGCTGTTCATCATTAAAAGGTGTGCAAAACAGATACAATTGTTAATGTTAAAATCACTATAGGGCCTGAACAAGACTTTACGCTATCGCTTACAGGATGAGTATGGCGGGTGAGGAATAAACTAGAGGCCT